CTCATGTGCAGACTTCCTTTAGGAAGGGCAGAATTCCTGCTGCGAAAGCAGTGAATCTGACCTGCACAATGGAAGTGGCTTACAGCCTCACCAGTGTCTCCAGAATGAATCCAGCAACTGGTCACAGGTCAGATATGCAGTAGCTTATATGCATACAAACACAGAAGAACTTCCACAGTTTTCATCTAGTTCCTGATTTGGCTTCTAGACCAGCAGAATATTCTTAGAGTGTACCCCCCAAAAAACAGAACAAAACAAAACAAAGCAGAACAGAACACCCAACTTTGCAAAGGACTGCAGCTCTTCCTGAAGGGGTCAGTGTTTTCAAAATTAGGATCCATAAAAAGCGGGGGTGGGGAAGGATCTTTGCATTAGTTGTAGAAAGGTTTTGTGAAGCCCCAGACGGAATCTCTTTTGTAGAGGTTCACCCTGCCCTGTAAAATGACCTACCAAAGGTCACCCTGTTCCTTGCAACCACCCACAATTGCACCCACATTCACTTTCCTAGAGTTCAAGAGCCCTGGTCACATGGTTTTGCCCAGGTAACCCATGTTCACAGAAACAACAAAGAAACATGAGCGAGTCAGAAGGGGCCTCCTGGGCCATCTAGTCTGACCCCCGGCTCCAGCCCGCTCCGCTCACAACATGCCCACCATGTGGACGTCCAGCCTATCCTTGAACACCCGCACCGATGGGGCCTCAACGACCTCTCGTGGAAGCCCATTCCACACCCTCGGGGTCCTGACTGTCAGGAAGTGCTTCCAGGCATCCAAATGGAACCTTGGCTCCCTGAGCTTGGCTCCGTTGGTGCGTGTCCTGCCTTCCTCTGCAGGGGAGAACAGATCTCTGCCCACCTCCGCATGACACCCCCTCACATACCTGTATGTCGCCAACAGATCCCCTCGGAGTCTCCTCTTCTCCAGGCTGAAGAGGCCCAGTTCCCTCAGCTCTGCAACTTGTAATGCGGGGTGGATTCTTTCAGGCTAGTCAGCCCTTTGGTCTTCTTGCCAGCATGTTTCCAGTGGGCACCATGTCCACAAAGACGGAGCCCTGTGGAAGGGCAAAATGCGTGTGGATTATTCTCGGAATAAAGCAAGGCTTTTTTTCGGTCTCCTAAGACTTCGGCTCCCCATTGCACTGGTCATTATGGCTTTCCCCACCTCTGCTTATCCCAGCCAGGACTCCCCTGGAGGACACGCCCCTTCTTATCTGACCCCTTCCCTGCAGCCGCTGATCATGCGCTGTGTTCCTGGCTGTCTGGGGATGATGGGAGCTGCAGTCCAGCACCTCCGGAGGGAAGGCGGCTTTAGAGGAAAGCTGAATGAAGCGCTGCTGGTGATGAGATGTTGTGGCTGGGAGGGGCCTCAAAGCAGTCCGCTCCCCCCCCCTCCGTCCGGGGGTGTGCTGGTGGACTCTGCTGGAAGCAGAAAGGCATGCTCCTGCGCCGCCTTTGGCCAGGCCTGTCTCGCAGTGACAGATGAACAAAGCTGTCTATGCAGCAGCGATAATTAACTCTGGCATTCCCTACTAATTATCCCAAAGGCCGTGCTGGCTCATCCGATCCACTCGCCAGATCAACGGGGTAGATATATGGCCCCCCGGGGGAGGCCGCGCCCGCCTCAATTTCCCAGGTTATTGACTTCCTTGCCAAACTTTTAATCTGTGAGCCGGATCCCCTAATGGACTCTTTAACCTTTTCGCCTGTTCTTTGGAAGAGGGATGAGGCCGACGGGCAGGCGCTCTCGCCGTTCCTCGAGGCAGCCAGAACACAGGGCTGCGCATTGTCTGTTACTTGAAGCCCTCGCCGAATACACGCTCGTTGCCTTCACAGTGGGCATCTCTGACATTAGAGCGCCAGCACCTACTCACAAATTTATTGGGCTGCACCCCGTGGCGCTGTTCCGACAGTGGCTGGGAATTGCCGGCTGAACGGGTTTCCTCTTGCCGACCAGCGGCTCAGGGCTCACAGGGCTGCGGGCCCCAGCACCTTTTTGATGGCGGGTGCTGAGCTCCTCAGCCATGCCCTCCTCCAAATTCCCCATCCTCCCTCCGCTTGGCTGAACTTCTCACAATAGCTGGGTTGGGGGGGGATGTTTTCTCAGCGCAGATTTTATTTCTTATCGTAATGCAAAGTATTTGGGGGAAGCTTGAGCAGAGGGATCCCCACGGCTAACTCACCCCAAACAGTGTTCTCCATGCTATTTCTGCCATTATATCCTTGATTTCTGCAGACCTTTTTAATGTGTTTCATCTTTTCCAAAGTACCGTATATGCCAGCCTATAAGGCAACTCACAGTAAGACAAGGTTGACACGTTGGGCTTCTTTTCTGGTGTTTGTCATATGTCGGGTGTATAATGTCGGGTCAATTTTTGCTTTACTATTTCCGATTTGAAGGGTCCTCTTATATGTCGGTATACACAGGTATATCTCTAACCAAAAAATGTGAATATCTCTGGGGAAAACTAGCAAATGTCTCTAGAAAAGGCAGAGGAGAAAGACCAACTATGGGATGGATGGATTCCCTAAAGGAAGCCACAGCCTTGGGTTTACAGCCTTGAGCTCTGTCTGGTGACTTGCATAACTCGTGCAAAGTAACCAACCACGTCTCTTTTGCAAGTTTGCTGCAGCCATTTTAAAACTATTCCTCACAGCGTAGAGTGAAGCCCGATGTCTTGCACTCTCGGTGTCCATGAGCCTCTAAATTCAGCAGGTCCTGTGCATCCTTTGCCCAGAAAGTGGAGCGGGATCAGTGTGCTCCAAACCTCCATATTTTCTCTGGCTGGCCATTTTTGGCTGCCTAGATTTAGCGTGGGAGAAGGAGAAGGAAAGAGGCAAAAGGCAGCTGGACTCACTGGAAGTGCTTGCCCGGGCTTCCTCCCTCCCTGCCCCCTCACGCACTCCACTTTCCCCCTCCAAGGCCCAGTTGTGATGTGGAGGGGCGGCGAGCACGGTTCTTTTCAGGAGGAGGAGCAGGACACAGGCTTCCAAATCTGAGCTCTGAGGTTGCAGGACTTTGGTGCTGGGACTCCGAATAATCTCAAGGCCTCCAAGAACATGGCCAGTATCATTCAGTGCCAGGAGGGAAAGGGCTGTTCTGGAAATGCTGGAAAACCTGTTCAGCAACCCACCCGGCCTGTGATATCTCTGAGGGCATTTCCTCTCATTTTAAAGCATCCCGAAAGAGCCCTCAGGGCTAGGAACTTGTTCTTTAAGAAAAGAGATATTCTGAGGAACTCTGCATCCAATACCTTATTGGATGAGGGTTACGTACTGTTGTGGGAATGTGATATACTCACAGCCCACTTATTATCTGCCATTACAATCAATTATTTGTGTTTTGCCAGGACTAGTACCAGACTAAATAAAGCCTGATTGCTCAATCAGCAGTTGGTTAGACCGACATAAACTGAGTAAGAACAAAGTACGTGCAATTGTTATGGGAGGGAAAGTATTTGTAACTGTCTGGAAGATGGCAGAGCACATCTCGCCCATGGGACAGATGTGGCCTCCCAGGCCTCCCCGTCCAGACCTGCAGAGCAGGTCCCTCAGCTGTGAGCCTGAGCACCTGGCAAGCGTGCACAGGCACTCAGCGGGGACTGAGGCCCACACACCAGTTGTGAAGCCGCTTCCCTCTTCCACCTGCGTGTGTGTTGCCACCCATGACACCGAAGGGGGTCTCCAGGTGCACCTTCATTCTGGGAGCATCCGTGGACTTCTCTTGGCTCAGCTTGCTATCCAAGACACAAGCACAGGAGGAAGGCCAGGAACACTACAGGGAATGCATGATTCTGTACAGCTACAACGCACCCCTGTTCTGGGCCCTTGTCTCCGGCCAGAGCCCCTCATTGGCTCCACTCGGGATTATTATTTACCCCATGAAAAGCCTCCCTTCTTCTTACTGGTGCTGTTAGGAAGAGTTATGTGTGGAAGTCCACCCGCTTTTTGCTCTGGCTCCACCACTGCTGGGTGGCTGACTTTGACGGGTTTCAACCCAGGTTCTATGGTCCCTGGCAGGCAAAAGTTCCCCATCGAGAATGTTTAGATGTCCCCTACATATCATGTACCCACAAGTGCAGTGGATGCCGTTGTAAAAGAGGCATTCCTCCTGTGTGAGGCAGACGTGGAATGCCTCTTCCAAAATGGTACATGCATTACAAATAATGAGTAATTTGGAGGACAAAATTGTGCGTGTCCAATTTGGACGCCCTTGCTTTTCTCTCTCTAGAATCACAATAAGAGGATATCTGTAAGTTCACACAGAGCAAAATCCAGAAGCAAATATGCGACTTCTCAAAATGTCTGGCCAAAATCAAAATAGGGAAGATGAGAATACGTATCTAATCATGATTCCTGATGGCACGATCTTGTGCATGTTTTTGACAGAAAAATGGTCTAAAGTTCCCAGGTTTCCACAGCCAACAACGGCTGGCTGGGGAATGCTGGGAGCTGTGGGGCTTTTCAGTCAAAACCTGCACGGGATCCCATGGATTCCTCCCAGCCTCCTTCTCGTCCGCTCCCTGCATCCTTGGTGCACACAAGCCCCCAGACTCACGGGAGGCTTCCATCCTTTGCCCACAACAAGGTGGGACAGCTGCCGTCTCTTGCGTCAAGTATCTCATCTCGACGGCTGTTTTCAGACGTCTAGATAAAGTGCAGGGGGGCGGAGAGGGAAGAGGCCAAAGGGAATCGGTGCAAGCCCATGGCCCCAGCTCCCTCCCTCCCCCTGTGCCCCTGCACATTGCTATTGGGGTGGGGGCAGCGGGGAGCGGCATGGTTTTTCCACACTGCATGCCAGGGCCAGGGACTCGGCCTCCACAGTCCCAGCTCCAAGAGCTCAGGATGTGCCGCTCTCTAGTGACAATGCGGCTTCCCAGACAAAGCCACAAGGTCCCCCCCCCCCCCCCCCGTTACCTGTAAAATGCTTTGCATGGGTTGCCTCACGCTTCCATCAGCTCACACCTGTGCTGCTTTCACCTGTGGCAATGTCTCTCATTTCCAGGTGATGGACAAGTAGACTTTGAGGAATTTGTGACGTTACTCGGCCCCAAGCTCTCCACTTCCGGCATTCCAGAGAAATTCCACGGCACTGACTTTGACACTGTCTTCTGGAAGGTGAGGAAAAATCAAGCTCTCATTCCTTTGAACTGGATGGTCTGGCCTCTTCTTGCCCTCACTCCAAATCTTAGCACTGAAGAAGCATATTTTTCCTAGTTTTCCTTTTTCTTTGATTTCTCCCCCTCCCTTTTTTTCTTTCTTTCTCTCTCTTTTAAGCTTGGGAGGGTTCCAAGGCTGGCTCAGCCACTTCCTTCCTTCTAGACTGTTCCTTTACCCTCTCCAGCTCCATCGATCAGCTTGTGGAGTAAGGAAATAGGCATCCTGTGTTGCTCTTGTACACTCGACAGCACAGCCTAATGTCTGCAAGGACCATTATCCCCACTATGATAGCCCTGTGTCCTGCTTTATAGAAGGGAGTCCTCTAACGGCCCAATACAACTTGGATTTTAAAAGGAAGACCAGGGTCTTGAAGTTGCCCGGCCCCATAACAGTCTGGAGAGAAGCACAAGCAGTGCCCACTCCTGCTTTTACAGGGGAGAGTCCTCGAAGGAAGGGCTGCCATTTTGGGCTCTGTGTTGAAGCAGTCCTCTGTGTGCAGGGCTGTCCTCTCCAATTCTGGTCCAAAGATCGCAGCCCATGGGAAGGGCTTGGATGAGGCCCACACAGAGCTAGGACTGGCACTGAGCTGAGCTGGGCATGCGAGTCCTCCAGCCACAGACCTCTCCTATCTTGAAGAGAGGTGCAGAATTTCTATTTAAACCATCGCAGGCCTTCCTAAATTTGCCTCTGCATACGAGAGCCAGCGTGGCATAGTTGTTGGAGCGTTGGACTGGGACTGGGGAGATCTGGGATCAGGTCCCCACCTAGGCAAGGAGTGAGCAGCAACCAAAATGCTGTGCCACGAACCCCCAGCCAGGGAAATGCTGTCCAGGGCTAGGGAAGTGGGCAGGAATTGTAGGCCTAGAGGAATCGCCCTGGGACGGGTGTCCCTGCTGCAGCATCGGTCACCTGTCTGCAACTGCCCTTTGCTCCCGAGAAGGGCAACTTGCAGAGACGAAGCGGCATGGGGTGAGGGCGTGGGGTGCCTCTCGGGCCGGGCAGTCCGAAGGGCGCTTAAAGTGGCGCATGGAGGCCCCAGGAGAGAGCCGCCTCCCGGCTCCGATGGCGGCCAACAGGTCCTTTGCCCGCCCTGGCCAGGCGCGCGCCCCTGCATGGCGTGCCTGGCTGGCCACAGCGCTGCCCGTGGGCCCGGGAGCGGCGACCCTCTGCCACGGCTCTCTTCCGCTGCAGTGCGACATGCAAAAGCTGACGGTGGACGAGCTGAAGCGGCTGCTGTACGACACCTTCTGCGAACACCTCTCCATGAAGGACATCGAAAACATCATCATGACCGAGGAGGAGAGCCACATGGGGAACGCCGAGGAGTGTCCGGTCGATGTGGAGAGTGAGTGGCCCTTTGCCAGCGAGGGGGGGGCGGGGGGGGGCGCTGAGCAGGGAAGGGGCGCAGCTGCCCGCGCCACCAGCTGGCCAAAACGCGGCAGTGCAGGCAGGTCCAACTGGCAGGCAGAAGACTCCTGGCCCAGGAATCGGGGACTGCGAGAGCCAGTCCCCCTTGCTTCCCCGTTTTAGTCCCAGGCTTGACGGACTAAATTTGTGTCCTGTCTTCTTCCTTCCTGCAAGAGCCCATGACAACTGGCATGGCCGCCCTCCCGCTCTGTGCGCTATGCTCACAGCAACAACCCTGTGAGGTAGGTCAGGGGACCGGCCCAGAGCATCCTGACGGAGTGGGGATTAAGGACTGGCTCTCCCAAGCCCCAGCCTCGCCCTCTCACCCTGCACTTCCCCAGCGCTCCTTAGGGATCATCAGACTGAGTTACGCCAAGCGATCCCTTGCGTGGGAATCAGTGCCCGCCTGGCGTTTCCACCTTTCCCTCCAGGCCCGGAAATCTGGACTGGAAACAGGCATCCAAGGCCCTGCCCTTGCAGGTGTCTTTCCAAGCTCTGCCATGCAAAAGGAGCGCCCAGCTGTCCACGACCCTCTTGGTGCCCCAGCTGTGCTCACCTTCCTAGCTAGAGGGACAGTTCTTCATCCTCTACAAACGTCTTTCGTCTTTCTCAAGCCACATTTCCATGGGCCACTCAGTGGCACGGCAGGGCAGGGAGCCACCGGCCCCTTCTCACTCTCCCCGCCTCTTCTATCACACCCCTCTTCTCTGCTGTGCCTCCCCAGGACAGACTGGACCTGCCACGGCCCTCTGCCTGCGCCTCCCTCACACCTGGCCAGGCCCACCTCCCCTCCACCTCAGTGTTTCTCTCCCACACCCTCCATTATGACCCCCCCCCGCACCACTGCCGTGCTGTTCTCCCTCCCTCTCTTCCGCCATGCCTCTTTCTCTGCCATGCGCGGATCTTGCCCTCCCTTGCTGTTTGCCCCCAGTGCACACTGCCCCGGGCGAGACCAATTGCACTGGTCCGAAGGGATGGCCTGACAAGCCCCCACGGAACTGGGCTCAGGGCTCCCCACAGCCTTCAAGCTCAGGGCTGCCAGCTGCAGCTTTGGCCAGCGCCAGACACAGGTTCCCAGGAGAAGGCTCCTCTTCGTCAGCTCTGGCAACTTCCTTTTGGCCTGTTTTGCCACCTCCACCAGCACCGGCTAGATGCACAGAAGCAAACAATAGAATCACCCTGACAATGAAACAGCGGCAGACAAAGGGCTGCTCTCTCTGCTCATCCCCAGGGCTTGCGGTGCAGCCAGCCCTGCCGGAAGCCGACTGGGGCTTGGAAGCTCCTTTCCTGGAAAGAGCTGGGCGACCATCCTGCACCTTCTGCGTCAAGCTGGCCCTGGCACGGGCACAAGGCTGGCTTCTTCCTGGCCGCCCGCTGCCTCTGTCCCTGCCAGTGGGGCTCCGAGCGTCCCAGGGAGGGAGGGCACCAGGGGGAAGCTGCCGCCCTGCTTGGCAGGCCGGGGGACTTTGCGTGCAGGTGTGAGCGAGGAAAGCGGCTCCTGCGTGAGCAGACCCTGTGCGTCATGGGCAGGGCTGCCCCTAAGGCAGCCTCCAATATCCCTTCGGTGCTGCAAATTCTGCTGCCGGAAAGGCTGGATTCTGCAACCTGCATGGGTGATGCATGTCTGTGCAGTTGGGTCTGATTTTGCACAGACTCATTTGCGATTTTAAGGTATACATTATGGTCTGTTTTTGTTAAACATGGGAATGAGTGGAAGAGGAATGTTGAGGGGAAGGTTATGTCACAGTTCTTTTTTTTGGGGGGGGGAGAGGGTCTTTGCTCAAAGTAACTCCAGTGCTGATATATGGGGATGTGTTCTGGGGGAGGTGAGCTGGAACTTTAAGGAGCTAGAATCACAGAATCCTAGAACTGCAGAATCCAACTCCATGCTAGTGGAGGGCCCCAAGTTAAAGCTGGAGGACTTGTGGACTGGGAGGCAGAGCAACCTCTGCCCCCGGCACTGCTCCGAAGCGTTGCCGTTGACCTCGTCTCCCTTTCCCCCTCCTCTGTATCCCCAATCTCCGCTTTGCTCCTCCTCCTCCACCCACCCCACCCTCTCGCCTCCTCCCTCAGCCTGCTCGAACCAACAGATCAGGCAGACGTGCGTCCGGAAAAGCCTCATCTGCGCCTTCGCCATCGCTTTCATCATCAGCGTCATGCTAATTGCCGCCAACCAGGTGCTGCGAAGCGGGATGAAGTAGCCCCGTGTGAGTGGATGGACAGGTGGACGGACGGATGGACTTCCTCGAAGAACAAATGGAGAAAACTAACTTTCCATCTCTATAAATACCTGTAGCCACGAGGGCCGGGTTGGGTGGTCGGGGAACGGTGATTCCTCTTGCACACACCCATAAATCACGTTCCTTTCCTCCTGTCCCTGAGGAGGGCCCCCACTTCCTGGCGATGCAGCGTCTTCTCAGCTGAGAGAGGGTTTCCTCAGGGGGGGTCCAGTTTAACCCAGCTGGGGGAGGCACTGGGACCCGCATGGTGGAACTTTTAAACTCAACTTTAAAAGCATGTAAAAGTGCATGGAGAACCTTCTCCCTACCCCACCTCCCAGTCTGAATGATGCAATACCATGTACTTTTATAATCGGATATTAGAGTCCTACAAAATATATAAAATATTATATTATATATATATATATATATATATATATTTATGATAAACCGAGTAATCAGTTAAGCAATACACACGCGTCAGGATTTTCTATCCAAGATTTGGGCGTTGCATGACCATGCTCAACACAAGGGCTGGATACCGATCACCCGCTGTTTGTATTGTAGCATCATCCGACTTCCCCTCTGCAGGCTCACCCCAGCATCTATGCACTACTTCTCTCCCCCCACCCTCACTCTGGGAGGGGGGCTTCCTAGAGCCTGCATTACGTGGGTCTGGGGGTTGTCTGGATGGAAGGCACCAGCAAAAGTTGGGCTGTTGGAAGAGGCCTGCTTTGGTGCGGCGCCGTCAGCTGCCATTCTCATGATGACTGCATGTGGAAATTCCATGGCGGGTGGCGCCAGGCATGGAATCGCTTCCCATGTGGGCGCTGGGCCAAATCATTCCCGGGGATGTGAAAGACTCCACCTCCTTGTGCCCCGAACCGTATACTCACAGTCTCACCTAACTGTATATAAAAGATCAGAGGGCAGCGGGAGAATCTGCATTATGGTGCAAATTCACTCCTGCTATGCCCGGAATAATGTCATTTGGGCTTGGGTAGCAGGTCTCTTTTATAACCTTATTAATGTCTTGAGGCTGAGACTTCTGAGCGAAGGAGAATTCCTCCCTTTCCTGGACAGCCTGTCTTGATGGTTAATCATTTCCCTGTTTTCAGAAATATATCAAAATCTATATCTTGTGCCTTATTTCTCATCTGAATTTGTCCAATGTTGAACTTGTTGGTTCTTGTTGTTATACTGTGGCTGGATCAAAGAGACTGTCATTCTCCCCACACTTTCTTCCCATGAATGTATTTTTTCTGCCACAACAAGTCAGTTCGTACATTTGAACACTGGCAAAAAAGATGCTCGAGAGACCGTGCTCCTTGAGTAGGTGGCTCTTGCCCTTCCTGCTTAAAATGTGATGTGAGGGATGTTTATTAATTGATTTGCACGTATCTATAGGCCTCCTATAACTGGAGGCCTTCCTCAGATACAGGGGGAAGTAACCTTCTCGTTAGAAAGGTACCCTCTTTTCCTTGCTTCTGCTCGTTCTGCCTTTGTTAATAAATCTAAGTATTTCTCTTGCCCCGTTTTCACCTACCGGACGCCTTCCAGATGCGTTGGACTGGTCTAGTGAAATCTGGGAGTCATAGTCCAATACACGCAGAGGGCATCAAACAGGTGAAGACGGCTTCCCCCTTTTTCTTTGACCCGATGCTCAGAGAAGGAACTTCCTTGGTAAGGATGAAGCAGAAACTCATTTCATTTTCATTCTCATTCAATCTTACCCAGTTTTACACTTTCAGACCAATTTGTGAACCAAAATTAGATGACGCCTGCAGTGTTGTGTTTCTCCCGTTATTGTACCAGAGTACTTCAATCAATACAAGTGCGTATAAAATATGTGCATTCAGGGCAAGTACACATGGAAATGTGCATCTTGGTTTGAAAAATATTAAAAGTGCATTAGGAAAAATCCTTGCAAAATATGTGTACATTGGGTGAAATTGTGCAGAAAAATGCACAGCTCCGAAGAGATGTGCACAAAACTGTTTTGACTTTTCATGCAAACTTTTTTTGAAAATCCCCAAATTCCAGGACAAACTGAAATTAAGACTGGGAGAAAGAGAAACTGAAGGACACACTGATTGTCCCTGGGTACTTTTTGTACTTCACCAAAATTGATGTTTTCCTAGCTTAGGCCAAGATGATAAATCCCTAAGGTTGGGTTTCGACCCCCAAGCAGATGCAGTAAGGAAGATGTGCGAGGTCATCTCCGCATGGCTTTCAAAACAAACATGCAAACATCTGTCACAGAAGAACTCCTGGTTTTGGTTGGAGCTCCAGTGCTGTTGGGGGTTTCTCTCTTTCCTGGTTCCTGGGTCTCCCCACCCCTCCCCGCCACACACACACACGCATGCACACGCACGGGCTGGAGTCAGAAGTGGGCACTGGCAAGGCACCTGCCAAGTTCCACGGCCAAGCAGGGGCCCAGGAGGAGCTTTTGCAAGCCCAGGGGAGCCATGGAAGCAGCTAAGCCGAGTGGTGTGGGAGAGACATTCTCCTTTGCTTTGGGACCGCCAGCAGGTTGAAACGCTGAGAAGGACGTGTTTTATTCACAGCAATTTGGATGAGGCACGAATTGGCTGTCATTGTCTCCTGTGAAATTTAAATAAACCCCAGTCATGATTTCTAAATTTGCATATATAGAGCTATGTTAGCATATACAGATTTTATGCAAAAGTGTGTCTTGTGTAAAGGTGGTCTGGAAGAAAACCAGAAAACTTGGGGGCATGAATTTTTTCTGAGGGAGGGGACTGGAAAAAATAAAAAATGGCCTTTCCCCAATTCTGTCCCCCTTTTCCTGGGCCTCTGCATCGCTATGTGATTGATCGGGGCCTTGAATATGCAGAGGGTAACTATTAGCGGGGAATCATCAGGATGGCTGCCAGTGACAAGCGGGATCCCCCAGGGCTCTGTCCTGGGGCCGATCCTGTTTGATCTTTTCATCAATGACCTGGAAGACGGGCTGACCAGTCTACTGATCAGTTATACAGGTGATACTAAAATGGGGGCAGTGGCCACAACTGAGGAGCAGGTACTATGGAAGTGGGCCAGGGGCAACAGGATGGCGTTCAATGTGGATCAGTGCAAGGTCTTGCACTTGGCGCATAGGAATGGGTGTCATAAGTACAGGTTAGGTGATAAGTGGCTGGAGAGCAGCACTTGTGAAAGGGACCTCGGGGTGCTGGTTGATTGCAGGCTGAACATGAGCCAGCCGTGTGATGCGGCGGTCAAGAGGGCAAATGCGGGGGAAAGAGTCGCTTTGGTGGTGGGATGTTTGGATGAATGAAGGAGGGGTCCTAGGAACTGACACCCCTAGACACTGAGATGGGGAGGGGCTCCTCTCAACATTTCTCTCCAGGTGTGCTGGTGGATTCTGAGAATGGCCAGGATCTGCCCCTGCTGGGAGGGAGCGTGAGACAGTGCTGTCAAGGACAAGACATTTTGAGGGCCCAAATCACGACAGGGAAAGTTCTGACTTGATTTGCTCTCATGCGCCCTTGATCTTCCTCCTGTCAGTCCAGGCGCTTGAGGACTCGACTGAGTTGTAATCCTGAGATACGACGAACCCCTTGCCCTGAATACCACAGGTAAGGAAAAGCAACCCATTTGCAAGATGTGGCATGCACAGAGGTACCCTTCTTCAGGGATGCCATCTCTGGGACTCTGCATGCTGAATGGTTGCCGTGTGGGCCGTAACTGGGAAGCTCTTGCCACTTGGCTTCACAGCCCTTCTCGCGGAGCTGGACTCCTTATAGGAAGTCCTGTGAGCCCAGCCACGCACTTCCACGGTCCCGGCCACTGTTGGGAGAAGAGAGGGCCAGGCCAAACTCGACCAAACCTGGCGCTCTTCCATCTAGCCCTGCAGTCCCCATCAGAGCGGCCTCCAGGTGTGCCGTATTGCATCTGGATGGTCTGGGAATGCTGGCAGCTGCAGCCCGACACATCTGGAGGCCCCCACATTGGGGAAGATGAGTCAAGACCAAGAGCCAGCAAAAAACAGCGCTTTGGACTTCGTCTCCGAGGATTCCAGACACTGACAGGGGCGCCTGGGAGTTGAAGTCCGAAACCTCTGGAGAACTATCTACAAGGCACCTCTGGACTAGCCACCAGGAGACCTCCTGTGAGGCCCCACTGCTCAACAATACCAGCAACGCCATCTTTCCTTCTGCCCCTCGGCTCTCAAGCAGGGCCTTGGAAGTCACGACGAAACCCAGCAGAAGCAATGGACCAAGATACAGCGGTGTTTGGAATAACAGGGACATTCCCAACAGTCTTCCCAAGTGCAAGCCAGAGGGTGTGTGTGTTTAAAAGAAGAATATATCTAGAGAGGTTCTGCTTAAAATATTCCTGACAGAGCAATATGTTCTCTTGTTAGAGCTGGCAGAGAGAATCACTCACACCATGTATAATAAAAGAAATAAATCATGGCGCTTATTTCTAAATACAAAGCTCTGAGGTTGTTCGTTTCTTTTAAAAAATATATTAGGCCATTCAGCCTGCTGTGCATTATTAACTATAATTTTACACGGTATAGTAATCATCTTCTGTAAAACGTCAGTCAAAGTGATGGGCAGGTGGGGGGGGGTGTAAGGAAGTTGAAAAGTCCACAAATCCTGTGAATCCAGCCTGCAGATTAGGCAGCAGGCTGATTTTCTTCAAGTCACACAGAACCTGGGACCTAATTTTTAATTTTTTTCAGGGAGGATTTGATCCATTTTGCATGGGCACATTTGCTACAGCGCATTAACATGTTTGAGTGGTATTTCCATGTATGTGCAACAAACCCATTGGATACAACATAAGCATGCACAGAGCAGAACCTATCAGTCATGGCTAACTCATGTTGCCTTGATTTCCATGGGCACCTCGAAGGGACCCTTCGTGGGGATGCAGCCCAGGCTTTGCCTGTTTGGACCCCCTTGTTGCTGCTGGTGAGCGTGCGAGAGCAGGAGCACAAGTGCTGCATCACG